TATTTATTGTAATCCAGATGCAATTAAAATGTCTTTGTCTTATTACACTATGCTGCTAGCATAACTATATGCTCAGTATCTCCTTGTTTAGCAAGCTCTATCGCAATAATGAGCCCATATATCAGAGATGACAAAGATCTGTGTGTACAAAGTTCTCCGTTATGTATAATCCAAAGTCACAAATTATTGTACTAATATTTTAGAGATAAAAAATCTGTAATGAGCCTTAATTTAATATAACAATGAGTAAAATACCACAGTCACATATTCTGGGGTGGGACTGCTGGAACCAGTGCTGTTACTGTTGCAGCACTTTTCATGACGGTACAATAGAATTGTTTCCTGCGCTTATTTTCACAATTGAGTTGCATCAAATTGCCTCTGTCCTGAGGAGATGGCCAATACCGAATAGTTCACTATTTCGAATACATTCGAAAATAAAACAAGAGAGCTATTCTCAAATATATGGACACGAAAAATCCATCTTCAACCACTGAAAATTTTAAAGCAATTAGTCAGGAGGGGGAATAGGGGGGTGCGCATTTCCAATACGTCGATATTATCTTTGTCGACCAATTTGCGACCACCGTGTTTTTGTATGTTTGATTGCTGTGATGCGGTGCTTTGTTCATAATTTGACGAGTTTTGTTCGAAATACAGAAATTAACCGTGTTCCTTAAATGTAAGACGGTCTCTCGACGCAGCAGAAACGATGTTCAAGGCTGAAATCCGTGGTCGCACACTGGTCGGTCGTCTTCTGAGTGTCGTACTTTAGTGGTTTGTATAGCTTTAACCCCTGGCCGTTGAAAGGTAATTCGAGGTTTAACGTGTAGAATAAATGCCAATGCACCTACGGTGAAAAAATTAATGGGTTAGAAAAAAATTTGTTTTTTGTTTTTTAGCGGTTTGAATGAAAATTGTCCGCAGACTGGCTACACCACCCTAGTTTTTGTCCGAAGTAGGCAAATCTGGTAAATGAAATTCATTTCATTACCAGACTAGGATTAGGATTTACATATTTATCCCGGGGGAGAGGAAAGCCGATAAGACGGCTTATCCATATGGCGAACCACGGCCTCTCGTCCGGTTACCATTCCAAGTCGGGTATGGGATTAGTTATATTGTTTGTTTTCGGAAGCATGGACTTGGTGGTGGAGGAAGCCGTAACCGACCAGCGGTTACGTGAACCACCCAACGACGGCGAGGAGTCCAGCAATCCTCTCGCACATAGCCATCACTGCATGGGATTCGAACCTGCGAACCCACGCAGAGCAATTAAAATTAGAGGTGCGGTGGGGAGCGTATTCCTAACGCTTAGCCCGTTGAGCCACACCGCCGCGCCGGACTACCGGTACCAGGCATTCTGACATTTGATTGATTTGCACATACTGACATAACACAGTATCAGCATTTGCAAAGTTGTAACTGTATGATTTAAATATTTATCCAGTCCAAAATTTTGTCAGGCAAGAATACCGGTATGCCAATTTTAGTTTTTGTCCGAAGTAGGCAAATGTGGTGAATGAAATTAATTTCACTACCGCTACCAGGCATTTCGTATATTCCAGTGTTCGGATACCGGTACAAATTTTGGTTTTTGTGCGAAGTAGCCAAACCTGGTAAGGGAAATTCATTTCACTACCGGTACCAGGCATTCTGACATTTGATATATTCCAGTGTTCGGCACTTACCGGTACCGGGTAACAGCTTACGGTGACACCATATTTCAATAAGCTGGAAACGCATACCGGTATTACTGTATCAGTCAACTAGCTAAGAAGTAATCGCAAACCGTTGCATTGCTGCATTGCGGGTACAGGAAACCTCAAACATCTCCATTCCCCATAAACAACTATTAGCGCTTTAGCGGAGAAAGATTTACGTTCGCTTCTCAGCTGATATGCCTTCGCCGCAATTTTTATTTTTATTCTGACACCAACGAATCTCTTGAAGTCCACAGAAAATTTTAAAAATAAATAAAAGTAATAGCCTTCTGAAGAAAAATTTTATCTTCAACCACTGGAAATTTTAAAGCAATTTGTCCAGTATTCGAAGAGAAAAGCGATTTCTTCAAAACGTGTCAAACAACAAGAACAAGAGAGAGATCTAATATTGAAACGATCATTATGTCCATTTCGTGTCCAATAAAGTAATTGAGACTTATCTATAGTGTATGAAGGGATTTGCATACAATAAACAATAGAATAACTGTTATCTATAACATTACTATATTACCATGCCTTTCATGTTTGCAGATTACTGCGATATATTTATATATATACCCTGAGTTACGTTATCAGAATTAAATTAACACGGCAAGCATTTAAAATAGTGCTATCGGTCATTGATTTGAACATTTTGCGCAACACAAAATCATCCTAGTAAAAGTCCATACTTTTGAATACCAACCATTATCCAAATTATTTGCCAAAAAGCGGGATAAAGTATAAAATATATTTCTGACTTGCGACAATTTTATCGTAAGTACTTAAATACGAATGAAAAATTAATTATATTCGGGCACTTCAATGTACGCGTATATATCTTTTATTATTTTATAAATACGAAAATATGAATCAAGAATTAATTATAATCGGGCAGTTTACCACACATTTTAAGTCAATGGATCAAAACCCAGTATATGTTTACATAAATTTGGCAAGCAGTTCACGCACGAAGACTTTGAATAATGATGTATTAGTCAAATTGAAGTTCTGTTAGACCACTGGATCTCAACCATGGCCCATGGCCCACTGGTAAGCCTCAGAGCCATTTTGAGGTGGGCCACAAACATATTATAAATTACGAGGTTTGTTGATTGGGAAAAAATGATTTGATAACAAAGTCAGCTTCACACGTCTTGAAAAACAAAATATCTATTTGCAAAACATGCCTCGCCGTAACCCACCCAATGGAGCGCAACATAGGTCCCTACCCATTATACGGCAGGAACAGCTAGATATGAATATATATATATATATATATATATATATATATAGCACTTTGCTTGCACATTATATCAAAATTAAAAAGAATATAACGAGAATGTCACGGCCTTCAATATTCGACGGGCTCGAACTGAGCATAACATGTAAAAAATTAACAAATAACGAATCCACGGGGACATTGTCTCATAAATACGAACAGAACAAACATTAAATTAACCAATTTCTAATATATTAAATTTTCAAGTATTCCTCACTATCCGTCGGAAGAAATTTCATCTACTTCTTCTTTTCAGTGTTTAGCTTTTTAGTGACCTCAGCCACCTTACCATCCGTCGTAAGAAATTTCATCCACTTCTTCTTTTTAGTGTTCAGCTTTTTAGTGACTTCAACCACTTCATTTATTCGTCGGAAGAAATTCCATCTACTTTTTCCTTTTAGTGTTCAGCTTTTTAGTGACTTCAACCGCCTCTTTATTCGTCGGAAGATATTTCATCCACTTCTTCCTTTTAGTGTTCAGCTGTTTAGTGACTTCAACCACCTCATTATTCGTCGGAAGAAATTTCATCCACTTCTTCCTTTTAGTGTTCAGCTTTTTAGTGTTTTCAACCATCTCAATATTCGTCGAATGAAATTTCATCCACTTTTTCCCTTCAGTGACTTCAAGCACCTCATTATTCGTCGGAAGAAATTTCATCCACTTCTTCCTTTTAGTGTTCAGCTTTTTAGTGTTTTCAACCATCTCAATATTCGTCGAATGAAATTTCATCCACTTTTTCCCTTCAGTGACTTCAACCACCTCATTATTCGTCGGAAGAAATTTCATCCATTTCTTCCTTTTAGTGTTCAGCTTTGTAGTGACTTCAATCACCTCGTTATTCGTCGGAATGAATTTCATCCACTTCTTCCTTTTAGTGTTCATATTTTTAGTGACTTCATCCATCTCACCAGCCTTCGGAAGAAATTTCATCTAGGCCCCTACTTCTTTCTTTTAGTGTTCAGCTTTTTAGTGACTTCAACCAACTCATTATTCGCGGGAATAAATTTCATCCACTTCTTTCTTTTAATGTTCATCTTTTTAGTGGCTTCAACCACCTCATTATTCGTCGGAAGAAATTTCTTCCACTTCTTCTTTTTAGTGTTCAGCTCTTTAGTGACTTCAACAACCTCATTATTCGTCGGAAGAAATTTCATCCACTTTTTTCTTTTTAGTGTTCATCTTTTTAGAGGCTTCAACCACCTCATTATTCGTCGGAGAAAATTTCTTCCACTTCTTCCTTTTAGTGTTCAGCATTTTAGTGACTTCAACCACCTCACTATTCGTCGGAAACAATTTCATCCACCTTTTCCTTTTAGTGTTCAGCTTTTTAGTGTTTTTTTCACCTTTGGGAACACTCCAATTTCTGTTTTTCCTCCACTTCACCCGTTTCTTTCTTCAGCCTTTTAGTGTTGTCCGTTAGTTACTAACTAACTGTCATCCAAGGCATGCAGGCGATCATTCGAAATGTGGTAATCTATTTTTCTCGTTGTACCGTATTGGTCGCAATATGATAGAGATCGCTGGCGTTAGTGAGTATGTTATTGTTGCCAAGATGTCATTTAGGTCGACCGTACCTATACTTTGGCAAGCTCTTTGACATGATTGTGAGGTCATAGTGACGTGAGACACATCTGCACATGGTTGTGCCACTCAAAATAGAAGTACTTGTTTAGTGAACATGTGCCGATTTTTGCATAGGCCTATAATATTTCTGTGATTTGATCACAACGCCACTAAATATCTAACTTCGGATTGTGAATCCCTTGTCTGCATGCTAAGTAGAGCATGCATTACTGCATAAGGAGTGCATGCATAAAGACGAACAGACTTTACGTCGTTGCATAAATGCCAGACGATAATGAATTTAGAATCTCCTCTGCATGAATCCCTATTACAGTATTATTTAATTAAGACAACATTCTTACCTTCTGTCCTTTGCTAATATACTACCCAAATCTATATTCTTTTTATTATTTGTTTGTTCATTGCCATTGTATAAATACAGAAATAGTAGTATGAGTAGAATGTCGAATAACAAAGCCAAAGAATTGGAAAATGAGCATGAAAATTGGATTGAAGCTCATTTTGATCCAATGGCAGGCTTCTACACGTTTTCCCCATGCCTGTCATTAACTGATTTAAATGGAGATGGAGACTATAAACTGCTGCTAGCAAGTTTAGGTAGTGGAGTCTACAATATGAAACTTAAGGTATGTAATCAGCTGAATGAAATCATTAATTATGAGAGATAGACTAATTTTAACAGAAAATAAAAAAATGTATATTTTTTATCGATTTTGGTAATTACTGGCGCATTGAGATACGATTCCAGCATATTTATAAACATTCAGCCATTGGTTTGTATGAACTATTTATAAAAGGGGTCTCGTGTAGTTTCGTACCTAACGTACTTATAGTGGGCGTAGCATGACAATCTTTTGACATGCCAATCCTAACCCTCACCTGACTACGCCATCCAAAATTTACGTCACTACGACGTCACAAACACGTTATAGAGCTTGCCAAATACTCGTACGATCGCCCAACATGGTGTGGTCAGGTGGGGGTTAGGATCGACACGTGAAAAAATTGTTATGCTGTTATGCTACGCCTACTAGAAGTACGTTAGGTACGAAACTACATGAGACCCTATGAAAGTACTGAAGTAGGTAACCGGAAAAATAAAATTGAAGGTAATATTCCAAATTTTTGAATGTTATAATTTCAGGTGTTTAAGGGTACGACTTTAGTTCAAGAAACTTCTCTTCTGGACTTGCCTGTGGGAATATGCACATTTTACATGGATCTCCATGAACCAAGGATTCCCGGGATTGCTGTGGCATCTGGACCGTTTCTTTATGTTTATAAAAATATGCGTCCCTATTATAAATTCACCTTGCCACTTTTGCCCATCAATCCTATTGAATCTGATATATGGAGTCAAGTCTCTGAAGATAAAATCGATATTAAAAGTTTATGGACAACCTTATCTTCCATCAAGGTAATTTTCTAATATATTCCAAATTTTGAGGTATAAATAATGGTGAGTTTGTCATAATTATATCTACAACTTTTTGTCAAGGCGATGAGACTGAGAGCCAGTTTTGATTTATGATCATATCATAAGATGCACGGGTCTGGTAAAGTTTAGTACCACATGCACTTCTAGTTGGCCTGGCTCAGGAATTTTTGCATATGCCAATCCTAACCCCCACCTGACTACGTCACCGAAAAATTACGTCATTTCGACGTCACATTGGCGTAATAAGGCCCACAAAAGTATGTGGATGGTCGTCCAAAACGCGCAGATTATCACCCGAAATCGAGCAAGCTATTTCTCTCGTTTTTTCGTCATAACGATCACGATAGGAGAGAGATCGCTGGCGTCAGCGAGTTCGTAATCGGCGGCGCAGATGCCATTTTGGGCGATCGTAATTATACTTTGGCAAGCCCTAGGACGTGTGTGTGACGTCGTATTGACGTAATTTTTGGATGGCATAGTCAGGTGGGGGTTAGGAATAACATATGCAAATTTCCGTTTGATACGCTAACTGGAAGTACTTGTGGTACTAAACTATACTAGACCCAGATGTACTAGCCCAAATGTTGGCAATATTCCATGCCAAGCATCAGTGAAGTATGTGCAACCTTGAATGAACTCTGAAGTTGCATTATTATAGCTTACCTCCCTTCGGACAGAAAAAATTTTCTTGTTTTATTTCTAACAACTACTAATCGCTGACCATATCATGTTGTTCGCTCGTCAATTTTCTTAAATTAGTTCCCCATCATATAAGCACCCACCAACCTCTATATGGCAGTGTTATTCCGAGAAAGAAGCCTTACTAGTGCTTTGTACAAATATACATTTTTAAATGCAATCGAATGTCTATAAAAATCTACTATATCTAACAGTAGTCAAAATTATTATTTTCAAATAAGAAATATTGAATATATTCGAAAATAAAATCGAGTAATAGGAGCTTTTCTATGGGGCATGAAGGAATTCGCATACAATAAACAAATGAATGTCTGGTATCTTAAAACTAGATATGAAAATTTAACAGTTTTTTTTCATCTCAAATTGTCAAATCACATGTGATAACTTAGCACTTTATTTGAAATATAAAGACAATTCAAATAACTGTTGATGTACATGCACCAATGAAACCATTGGTCCAATGCGAATCAAGGCTTCTAGCCAAACCTTGGGTCCTGGCAGAGATTTATGTCTCCATTAATAGAAAGAAACGCAAAATGTATAAAACTCCCTTCAAAAAAAGGCCACAATATCAAACAAAATGTAAACAAAACTTACATCAATTTACTTATGACTGGGGGTGGGCAAAATCGAATATTTTTTCGAATTGAATAGTTCGAATATTTTTTACGAATAACGAATTAATCGAATACCGAGTATTTTTCTTATACACAACCGGGGTCCAGAACCTCGGAGGTCGATAATCTCTTCGGAAATTAAAAGAAACAGGAAAAGCATTTTTTTCGGCAAAAAGCGTTTTTTTTACTTGTTAAATTTATAATGGCTATGTGTTTTTGTCACAGAGATCGCTTCAACGGCGACACCCTAAAGTTGGTAATCTCTAATCCCGCACTTTTTCTTTTTTGTAGATATTAATTCTTGCTGGTCGGTGATAGTCGAGCTCGAACACACTGTTAATAGTTACCGATATTATAACTATTTTCTTACAATAATGTAGACCAGGGGTGTCAAACTCGTGGGTTTTCGAGGGCCGCATTGTATTTTGGGAATTGTGCAAAGGGCCGCAAACAGTTTTGCTAATGTATAGGCCTACTTGAAGCATATATTTAAATATGTGTAGTTTGTGACATGTATCGTTATGCAATTAAACAGCCGAATGAAGTTTTTTTCTCGATACGAGTTATTTTTTAAAATTTCAAATGCCATTTACATATTAATTTTTGCATTTCACGATTATTGCAATTTACTGTATTTTTCACAAAAAATCATAAATTTTCATGTACAAATATCCAAAACATTTTTGAACAAAGAATAATACATAGGCCTACACTAAAAATGATTTAATCTAAATATATAGACCTAAAATTAAAAAAAATACTACAGAATAAACTCAATGTTTTTTTATTACATATGTCCTGACATTTGGCATCTCTTTTGTGCCACCAGCTTACAGATATCAGGCTGAAATGATTTTACAGATTTTACATCGATTAATCTGGATTGTTGAGAATGTTTGATGAATTTCAGTAATGAAAAAATATTACGTTTATCATTTCATGTATAGATCAGTAAACAAACAAATAACTTTTTGGACCAGACATTTCCTACCATTGCGTGGCATAGGAATGCTTGAGGTATGATTGATATTGATGTTTAGTAACTACCGTGTTTCCCCGAAAATAAGACCTACCCCGAAAGTAAGACCTAGCCTGAATTTTAAAAATGATTTTGATATAAGCCCTACCCTTAAAATAAGACCTAGTCGATAGAGCACAATTTTTTTTTTCTAGTCGATAGCAAGACATCTTTCCTACTCGTTTTAAAGGTTAATATCGGTTTTCATATTTTGTATATTTGAAAATCTCGTAATTCTCTAAATGAAAACATAAGACATCCCCCCCAAAAAAGCCCTAGTGGTCTTTTTCTAAAGAAAATTTAAATAAGACACTGGTAGGTAGTTGTATAATTAAAATAATATACAAACATATAAAAAATTTCTGTTCAAAGTTGATATTTGAATGCAAATTGCAACTACCAATTTTCTTCAAAAATGCCACCTTCTCCATGTAGCCCACATGACCCTAATAACTGCAGCAAAAAAATTGTATTACTTCGATAAATCCAAATAGATCTGTGGTGACATCAAATCTACTTGGGAAATGATTGGGTATTGAGCTAACATCAAACAAGAAAAAAAATTCTATTAAAGAGCTAAGAACTGACAATGAAACTAAAGTATGTGTGAAAAGATTCTCCATTCTGAATAATCTCATGAATCCAGTAAAAGAGTTATTATTAAGGTATTTCTGGCGAATAAGTCTACCTGGTCAATAAGACGAGGCCCGTTTTTAAGCCTGAAAAAATGGGTTTTTGCATATAACCTCCCATTAAGACGGGGTAGTAAATTCGCATCAACATCAAAATCTCAAATTACCATGCAAAGGCTTTTAAGCCTGTAATAACTTTTCCTTGTAGCGTAATACTCAATCCATGACAACTGCGGGAATTAAAACTGTCTTTTAATTTCAATCTGATTGTGTTCAACGTAACTCGCATAACTTGCGTCCACCCTATAAAAACATTACCGATCTAAAATAACTCGCCTACACATGATTATGTGATAACTCATATCTCACAACACAAGTGCCATGGTTGCTTGAGGGCAATAAAGTAATTATCGGAAACCTCGCTGAAAATTTGTGACTCAGGGAGAATAAATGCTGAAATGAAAGATGTTTACTGCTCAAATAAGACATCAACACTGACAAGAAACCATTGCAGATTTTCACAAATTGCAATCTCAAATCAAATATGATAATCACAGGTTTCACAGCATTGAAATTCCAGATTCACAGTGCGAGAATGCCGATTTATTTAAACGTACCTGATGAGGACATGGGAGACACTATCGCCGAAGGTATTTTATGGTCCGAATTGAATAATAAGGCGACACCAAAAAATGAAAATTATCATACTCGCCCATACTCACGACCCCCCAAAATCAGGCCAAAAATTTGGGTCTAGGAAAGCGACTTATTTGCTGGGAAATACAGTATATTTCAGACCAGTAACTGTGAGGGAAGTATTCGGAACTATAGGAAGACTTCTTGATAGCAAAGCGGTGGGATATGACAACCTGCCAAATTTTGAATATCAGTCTGATATAGTGTTTCCCATACTGTGTGAGTTTAATAATGCATCCCTAGTCTATAGTATTTTCTCCAAGTGTCTGAAACCGGTGTTTAAAATTGAAGGTGAAGAATGTACAACTAACTATCGACCCATTTCGGTTCTTTCGGCTATGACCACAGTATTCAAAAACACTCTCACACATCAGATTGACACAATTTTTAGATCGAAATAGCATCATTAATAAATCCTAGTTTGGTTTCCAAAATAAGCACCATACCCAATTATGCAATACTTGATATGGTAACCTAGTTTTTATGACAAATTAGAGAAAGAGGAACATATCAGTACAATATTCCTTGACTTTTAAAAAAGCGTTCATTCTCAGTTTCATCACCGGTATCAAACAATGCCTTCCATTCGTTTTCATCAATGTTGTCCAAGAATTCATTAACCGAGTTTTCGGAGTTCGTCCTGATGCAGCATATCTCAAACCCCCTTTGCTATGGTTTCAGTAGGTATTTCTGCCCAAGCATTCACTATCCACGAACATATTGTGGTCAAATACATTCTTTTCATCGCACCTGTGGTGTAAGAATGATCGCCGTTGATCCTCCAGTTATCCTCCTTGAAAGGCTTATTCACAATTTTTCAAAATTTTTATCATTGCCAGTACATCTTACTCTGACATGGTCAAACTACTACCCGCATGCTAAATCCGACTCGTGGGGTAATTCAATCTGGCCCGCCTGAAACTAAAACCAAATTTTGATGTTTTAGATAAACAATAGCTCAAGGAATTTGTTGATATTGCAAATAAAATTTGTTTTGTTGCAAGGCTTATTGTTTTCCAATTTTGCTTTTGTATCGCTGTAAATATTGTTCATAAAATGTAACTTATTTTTTGGTCCCTGGTCCAAAAACCTTGTCCACCCTTGATCTAACTGTTATCGTTCATGCAGCTCTATTTTCTTTGGGCTGCTAGGTTACGCATTCGGTAACATACCTGCATACATTCATTTTAATTGCATCGTGTAGCTTCGTCTTGCAAGTTTCTCCATCATATCGGTAATACTGCACTGTTCTCAGTTGGAAATAAACACCGCTCAGTTTTTAAAATGCTCGAAGACAAAGAACAGCATGACAGTGAA